CCTTTGAGGAAACAGGTATTGAGTCACAAATGAAAAAAAAGAGGTAGAGTCTGATTTGTTAGTGATTATTACAATTGATTGCAATGAGATATAAGGCAGTATTATTTTTAAATCAATTGTGCTGACCATCAACAGCAAAGGAAAAAGTATCAGTATGTATTCATCTATATCTGATATTGAATCTTAATTAATTTTAAATGTATTTATATTAGATCTTCATATTTCCATTCAAAAATCATAGTAAATTATGTTTCTACCATAGAGAGAATTTTGTAACTGTTTAAAAACTGTTTCACATTTTGTTTCTTTCAATGTCTAATTTTAGTGATAAACATTTTAACAATGTATTGATTGATAAGTTTACGAAAATACTAATATAAATTTGATATTATTTTAATTTCCAGCATTACATAGTTTATGGTATAAACTTTCATAAAATTTAATGAGCTCATAAATAAGCACTTTAGACAGCAAATTCTCCAAAGATACCATTCTATTCTGTATGTTATTGGAGAAACCTATGAGCAACTCCTAAACAGAAAATCCGATCTGTCCCACTGACTGTCTTAGGAAAAAGGTTGTTTTGTAGATCTAGGATCCAATGAATCTTTTACATTCTCCAAAGAAAGAGTTTGAGTTTTGAGAAAATATGCATGCAATGCCTTTTAAGCTTTCTGCATGTGCTATAAATATACAAACCAGGATCAAACATACATGGTGAGTTTTTAAATTTATCAGTACTCATTATGGCCCAATAACTTTTTATTGAAACAATTACTGCAAGAAAATTCTAACAACATTGCAAAAATGTTATTTCATAATCTAGGAAAATACTGAAAATCATAAGACTCAGGGAGCTCGATATAAATGGGGTGCTATGGAAAATTTTAAATTAATTTTGAGTTCCCCTTCTCATCTCAGAAATGGTAGACTAACTTCCCCAGTGTTAACCTATATTTCTTAAGAAAGTTTTACTCTCTCCCATCACTTCCTTTCTCCTTCCTTTCCTCAACTTTTAATTTTATTTTATTTCACCTTGCTGGATGGTTTAAAGAGCCAGAGTCTAATACAGCAATAGTCATATCTGAACACATCTGCATACTAGCTATTGACCCAGGGCAAACTATTCAACCATTCAATATGTGTGATGTCAAATTGTGACTTTTGAGCGTAACTAACTTAGATGTCATTGTCACCAGCAAAAAAGAAAATAATATGGGGGAAGATGTTACTAAGGCACAGAACCCTGAATTTTGTTGAATCTCTGACCACATTTGAGAAATTCTCATAAAGGATGTGCCTCGAGGTAGAAAGTCTCCATTTATCTCTTCAAATCAGTGGATAGACACAGAAAAGTCTATGCCTGTCCTCTCTGCTGAATTCCATAGAAGTTCTTTGAAAACAACTTCCAGCAATGTAAACTCACAATAGCTATGAAATTGCTGTTTTTTCACCTATGGGTCCATGTAACTGAAATTCATCTTAATTCTTTTTTTTCCTGAATGTACAGTCAGATGCTGAATCTGATAATTCTTGTCTTCCTATTTTTCCCTAATACCTAAAGGATGGCCTATCATAATTATTGATCTAAAAGACTGTTTTTCACAATACTGGTACAGGAAAATGATAGGGGAAAATTTGCATTTACTGTACCAACTCTTAATAATTCACAGCGAGTTAGGAGATATCAGTGGAGAGTTTTGCCACAGGAATGCTAAATAATCCTACTTTGTGTCAACACTTTCTACAGCAACCTTTGGAAATAATTCATAAGAAATGTTCACAATCTCTTGTTTATCATTACATGGATGACATTCTTATATCAGATTCCAATAAAGAAAATTTGGAACTTATGTTTGAAATGGTGAAGGAAGTTTTGCCTCATTGGGGATTACAGATTGCCCCAGAAAAGATACAAAGAGGAGATTCTATTAACTATTTAGGTTACAAGATAGACTTACAAAGAATCAGACCTCAAAAGGTACAAATTAGGAGAGATTGTTATCAAACTCTTAATTCTCTTCAGAAATTATTAAGGGAAATTTCTCAATTACAGACAATTATTTATATAGAAGGGCATGACTTAAAGCATTTAAAATGGCCCTTAAAGGTGATAAGGACCTAAACACTCAGAGAATATTATCTGCTGAGGTAGAAAAAGAGTTACAATGGGTAGAAAACAGAATATTGGATGCACATGTAGATCGGGAAAACCTTAATTTATACAGTATTCTGTTTATCTTGCCATCCAGAGAATACCCTCTGGGATTCTGAGGCAGAGGGAAGACACTATATTGGAATGGATATTTCTGCCACTTAAACAGAATAAAAAGTTGAAGACATATACAGAAAATATTTCTGATTTGATTTTAAAGGGAAAATTAAGACTTTGTCAACTGACTGGAAAAGATCCAGCAGAAATTATACTACCTTTAACTAATGAGGAAATTTCCTCCTGTGGAAGGATAATGAATATTGGCAAATAGCTCTTACTGACTTTTTGGGAACAATTAGCAACAACTATCCCAAAACTGACAGAATTAAATTCATAAAAAAGACAGTCTGGATTCTTCCACATATTGTAAGACAAACTCCCATTTCTGGAGGTCTTACCTTCTACACTGATGCTAACAAATCAGGTAAGTCTGGTTATAAAGCAGGTGAGATAAGTAAAGAAGTTCAAAGTCCATATACATCTGTACAGAAGGCAGAATTATATGCAATTCTCATGGTACTTA